GCTGGGCGCCAAGCAGGTGGCTGTCGTGTGGGTCCAGACCCAGTGGCTTGGAAATCACGCCTGGTATGAGTGAGCGTATGCCTAACACCCCAGGAGAATGGAGAAGGGTCTATGGCATGGCCATCCCCGGGGTTGATTTCTCACTTTCCCTCTCTGCCTGCCTGCCCCTCCCTCCCTCTGGCTCTCTCCGGCAGGTGCATGTGCCCTATGGTAAAAACTTAAGAAAAATAGCTGGCGGAGTCTTCCAAGGGCAAACTGAACGTTCGGAGCAAAGCCCTTGACAACGGGGTGGGGAGACAACACGGGGGACATTTCAGGGTCTGCAAGAGAGGAGCGCCCCACACCGAGGACACTTGGCCACGCTGTACCGAAGCCATCAGCCTGCTCCACAACCTGGACTGCATGGACCGTCAGAAGAGGGCGCCATCAGACCACGAAGCCTGGAAAGCACCACCATGGATCCCATCACCAAGGAGAGGCAGAGGGGAATTCTGCACCCAGAGGCAGGTTGCCCTGGGGCTGCAGGAGGGAACCAGGAGACGCAACTTCAACCAGCAGGAACAGCTCAGGGATAGGGCGGTCCCCCTGAATCAAAAGCCCCAACCTAGAAAGTCAGTGTTTAAAAACAAACACAGAAATGAAATGAAAGCTCAAGGAAGAAATGGGAGTTCTCGTTCCTGCTATCCAAGGTGGCAGGTGAGGAGCTGCCGAGCAGGAGACTAAGGAGAGGAACCTGAAGCCAAGAAGGCTGATGCCAGCGGCAGAGTTAAAGAGGGTGACGCCGAGGCTAAAACGCCCAAGAAGGGGAAGCCCCACTGCAGCCGAAGCCGGTCCTAGTCCGGGGCATCGGCAGATACTCCTGTCTGCCATGGATCCAGGAAGGCCGTGTACAAGAGGAAGCACCCAGCCACTGAACCCAGGATCGAAAAGAAAAAGGAGAAGGTTCTTGCCAGTGTCACAAAGCAGCTGGTGGGGACAAGGTGGTACCCGGGTGGGTAAACTGCAAGTGCCTAGGTATCATCCCACTGCAGATGTGCCTCGAAAGCCGCTGAGCCACGGAACCCCTTCAGTCGGCCTGTGAGAGAGCCGCGAGCCAGCATCCCTCCCGGGACCACGCTGACCGTCCTCACTGGACGCCACAGAGCCAGAGAGTGTTTTCCTGAAGCAGCTGAGCGGCAGCTCGCTCCTGTGACTGGACCGCTTGTCCTCGCTCGAGTTCCACTGCACAGGACGCCCCAGAAATGTGTCATCGCCACTCCACAAACGCTATTAGCAAAGTGGAAATCCCAAAACACATCACCAATGCTTACTTCAAGAAAAAGAAGCTGCAGAAACCCAGACACCAGGAAGGTGAGATCTTTGACACACAGAAGGAGAAATACAAAATTACAGAGCTGCACAAGGTTGATCAGAAAACTATAAACTTGCAAATTCTACCAAAAATCAAAGCTGTTCCTCAGCTCCAGGGCTACCTGCAATCCATGTTTGCCCTTCCAAATTGAGTTTATGCTCACAAATTGGTGTTCCAAATTTCTTGCCAAGAACCTAATTAAATAACTGATCATGTGTATTTTTTAAAAAAGCAAATCTATTTTAAGTATCATTTTCCTCTGCTCTTTCAAAATTACCAAGAATACCAGCCCTCTGAGTTTGCCTTCCCAGGGTCCTCCACGACTTCATCTGTTACTTCTCGTGCCCACTGTTCTCTGTTGGGCACTCCCCCACCTCTGTCCCCAGAGTCCCCAGGTAAAGGCCACACTTTGCGGGAGGTGGCACCTCCTCTGGAATCTGCTCCCCTGCTTTTGTCCTGAGGCCCTCAGAGCATCACGTGGCACCACGACCCCTGACTCCTCAGTGCTTCAACCCTTCAACCAGCCCTGTGCTTCAGCGGAAGGTTGGGGAGGTTTGGGTTAGGGTGACAGTCGAGGTGGCATCTCTGAGTACACTGAGGCCAGCACACTGGCCCGGGGCCTGGTTTGGCTATGATTCCATCTTCTTCCTCCCACCCATGACCCTGGGCTGGGCACACAATTCAGCTCTCTCTGTTCCTGGGTCTCAGTGTCCTGCCGTGAGTCTGAGACATCTCGCGCTGAGGCAAGGACAGAGAAGAGTGAGGATAGTAAGACACAGCGAGGAAAAAGACAGCTCCTGAGGGAGAGCAGGGCCCAGGGGTGTCTGAGCGTTCGGGGAGTGCCCCGTTTTCTTTTCTTTTTTTTTTTTCTTTCTTTATTTATTTAATTTTGGGGGGTGAGAGATTTTTTTGCTATAGGGCACGTGCGCTCGCCAGACAGAGAGAGACAGAGAGACAGAAAGCGAGAAATCACCCCCAAGAGGGGATGGTCACGCCACAATCCCTTCTCCTCCATTCTCCTCTCGGGATCTTGGGCACGCACGCACACGCGCCCGGCGTGAGTTCTAAGCCACCGGGCCCAGGACGCGAACCGCGGTCGACTACGTGGGAGTCCAGCGACATAGCCATTACGCTAACTGCTGGTTCCCAAGCCCCGTTTTCTCAGGGTCACAGGCACAGGGATGGTGCCTGGTGATAACAGGAGGACTTTTTACCTGAGGTCTGTGCCTGTGGTCTCTGGGGGTCCTGAGGAAGAAAAAGAGAGAAACAGGAGGAGCGTGTGTGGGTTAGGGTATAAAAGCGTTGCTGCCTTAGCACATAGACTAAGTGAGACAGCTACAGGGTTGCCGAGGACAGGTGGGGGTAGCCCTAGTGAGAACAAACTCACCCTCCCCAACCTTCAGGGTCAACGAGGTCAGCTGCTCCCAGCCACATGCTCCCTGCACACCCTCCCATCTCACAGAGTGGAACGATGCTCCACCTAAGACCGCCTCTGAGCCCTCGGGGCCAGGGGTGACAGCTCTTTTTCTCATTGGAGAAAGACGTCAGCTTCTGGAGGGAAACGTGACCCCCCAGGTCAAGCTGGACAGAGAAGAGGACAGATGGGCAAGTGGCTGGTCCCTCAGTGGTGAGACTGACTTCAAAGATGTCAGGGCTCAGCTAGGGCAGGCACACCTGAGAGACTGGAATTCGTGGCTGCTCCCTGGGACTTGACGGGAAGACCCTAATAACAGGGAGGTGAGGCTGGCCAAGGGGTTGGACCCAGCCCAGGCAGAGTAAGCAGGCTCACCCCCTTCTCCTCCTCACCCCATTGTCCACACAACCGAACAATCTCCCAACCCCTAGCAGCAGCACGACCCATCAGGAAGGCAAAGGGCAGGTGATGAGGGCTGGCAGCATTTCCAGACAGATCAGTCCCAGGCTGAGGCTTGCCATTCCTGCTCCATGGATGTCATCTGTCCTCATTTCTGTCACAGGCAGGGTTTTCTGCTCCAAAGGCCCCACAGCAGCTATTGCAGGCCTCAGCAGCCTTTAGGGTAAAGGCTGAGCCTGAGGCCCCAGGTGCCCAAGTGGGGACTAGGAAGTCAGCACCTCAGCCCTGGCTGCAAGCACTTGCTTTTCGGGGGAACGCTGTCAGGCAAAGGAGCACCTACAGCTTCAGAGGAAGCGGCAGCCCGGGGCCGGAGGCTCACGGACAGCTCAGGAGGAGGCAGCACTCACCTCGGAAGGCCTTCGATCGTGTGCGAGCTCGCTTCTCATCATTGTCCGAGTTCATCTGCAAGAGAAAACAACTACGATGTTCATGAGAAAACCAGCCAGCAATTCTGTCAGGGACGTCTGGCCTTTTTTAGCTCAAGATGTGATGGTGAAGGTGACTCAGTGGCTCGGAATGACCGAGGGTGAGCTCACAGAACAGGGGCCATAGAACTGGCAGGCGGGAGCTGTGGGAGGAGAGGCCAGGTAGAGACCGCCTCTCCTGTCCCTGCCTTTGGCAAGAGTCTGAAGCCTGCTGTGCTCTCCCACCGCACTCAGCCGTGCACCTGCCAACAAAAACTGAACAGGGCTGCCCAGGGAGCCCGGCAGTGATCCGTGACACCAGGCCTCTGGTGAAGGCTCCAGAACAGGCCACTGCCATGAGCGGCTCAGTGGACTGCTTCCGGCCCCAGGGTGCCCGGCTGTCCTCCCTCCCACTCAGCCCTACAACCCTGGGGCCAGCGTGCTGGAAACAGGTGTTCTTACCCCAAGTATCTGACTGCCCTGCCGAGCCACCAGTGTCTCCAGGCACCTACACTCCCAGCCCCTGACCTGCGTGCACTGGAACCCTGCTACAACACTGTCCTGTAAAGGAGCCAGAGTGGTCCCGAAGGGCGGCAACCACGGAAAGGACATGCCTGGGGCCCAGAGGTCCTGGGTCAGCACACAGACTCTTCACCCTATGCCCTCCCATGACAAGTCTGGGCAGACAGGCGAAACCCTGACCACTCCATGATGCACAAAGCATGGGCCCTCTGGCCAGGGAGGGTGTACTCCTGGCTCCTAGGAAATCTGGGAGGAGAGGGCCAGGGCTTGCAGCCACCAGTCCACCCTGTCCCAGGCCACAGACAGCAGGACGGCCAGGTTCCCTAAGAGAGGTTGCTTAAAGGAAACTGGGAGTGCAGAAGAAAGGAGGGGAGGGCCACAGGGGCGGGCCATCTTCAGCAGGGCTCTGGGACCTGAGAGCATGCACTCACAGGACAGCCTGCACTCACAGGACGGCACTCACGGGACGGCCTGCACTCACGGGACGGCCTGCACTCACAGGATGGCACTCACAGGACGGCATTCACAGGACAGCCTGCACTCACAAGACGGCATGCACTCACAGGACGGCCTGGGGAGGCAGAGCACGGTCCCCAGCCAGTACAATGACATCTGTGAACTGCGTTACGTGGCAGCGCTATCGTATCATGGTCTATGTGATTTGTTAAGGAAGAAAAAATCAAAACCTGGGTCATTTGGGACTGCCGGCTCCGGGCTGTGCTGCAGTGTGCGAGCCGGCTTTACGGCAGCCTCCAGGAGAACAGAGGACAATTACTGCAACTTCTATTTTTAAAGCGGGGCTCCCCATGGACCAATGGCTTACGTTTAAAGTGAAGAGAGAAGCAGGTGTCCGAGGGACTTCATCACATTTACGAGCTTTCGAACATTGCATGCACTGAGCCCGTGTGCGACGCCAAGCCAGGCCGCGCAGGGGGCTGATGCATTGACTGGCGCCTGCGTTCAGCTGGAATGCCATCTACAGCTTTTTTTTTTTTGTCAGTTTTCCCAAAGGAAATTGGCAAGCATTCTGCTAGGTTAAAGCATGCCTTGGCAATTTGGGTTTCCTGCAAATAAATTATTCAAAGAGCAGAGAATGGAGAGGGTTGCAGGGATGCGTAACGGGGCTGCTTGCAGACTGAGCACCATTGATGGGGCTGACAGCTGTGGCATTCAGGGCTGAGCACCTTCCCTTCCCTTTATCTGCACCGAATGGTCAGTAACGAGTTCTCTTCAGTGCATGTAGCTTTGATTTTAAAGGGGAGAAAACTGAACTACAGGTGGAAAATCCAGGCTCTTTCATAAGAGAATGAATTTGTAAGAGTCAGATAACTTGGGGCATCAGCAACAAAGCTGGGAACTTAGATTTCTGAGGTGTTTGGAACTAACAGTGTCAGCTGCTTCGGAAACCTCTGGGCAAAGCTGTGGTTAACCAGTGCTGTGCACCTTTTCAGACACCCCACGCACTTCAGTGGTGAGCCCCGCTGTCCTCCTGCCTCGAGGCAGGGGCCCCATGTGCCAGGTGGAGAGCCAGTCCCCGGGGCAGCCTGTGCCCAGTGCCATCCCAACTCCCCACGCTCACTGGCTTCGCGGCAAGCCCCCAGGACTTCTGCCACAACTGCACAGTGGCAATCATGCCCTAAAGGGTAGCTCACTGATGAAAAGTAACGAGACACTTCTCAATTTCTCATTGATTCATTCTCTTCTAAAAGCCTTTACAAACCAGCCAGGTCCCCGTTTCTGTACAGCCCACAAATAACTCCATGGCCTCTGGCCTTGGGAATGAAAAAGTCCTTTTGTCAAGACAGGCCAAGCTCACCTGCTTATTCGCCATGGGCCAGCGATATCTACTCTCTGTTTCCCCAATGACAACTTCATTCTGCCATGGGGAGGTGTCTTACAGCTCAAATTAATATTTCAACAGTCCTGCCTTCAAAAGAAAACCACGAGACTGTGGGGAGGGGAAAACTGACCGAGGTGCACCTGCCGGGAGCCTGTCTGAGAGCTGCTGCTCCGGCTTGGTCTCTCAGCGCTGCACAGAAGCAGTCTCACGCAAGAGGGTGTTTTGGCTTTGTACTGTTTTGTTTTCCTTTGAGTAAAGTCCAGGTTGGTCATATGAGCTCTTTTTAAATATGCACAACTCTCGGGACCAGATGACATAAAGGCTATGTCACCAGACTCTCATGTAGCCCACTGCGGTTTGAGTCCTGGAGCTGGTGGCTTAAACTCCCACCGGGCGCGTGTGTGCATGCCCAAGATCCCGAGAGGAGAATGGAGGAGAAGGGATTTCAGCATGGCCATCCCCCCTGGGGGTGATTTCTCGCTTTCTCTCTCTCTGTCTCTCTCTCTCTGACTTTCTGGCGAGCACGTGCGCCCTATAACAAAAACCTCTCAAATATATATACATGCACAACTCTCGCTAAGACGTGTGTGCTACGGAGACCAGCCGCTTTCTCAGACCTGCGTCATGCCCTTGCCAAAATTAAGTTCCCTGCTTAATGTGGACATTTACAAACTCAAAACCAGAAAAGCACATGCAAGAAGCAGCCTCAGAACCTGCAGAGTCCTCTGACTTTTGGGCTGCAGTTCCAAGAAATACTCAGAACCCAGAAACATGGCCAGTAGTGAACCACTCATTCCAGTCTTCAAAAAAAAGCGGGGGAACTCAACTTCCTAGGACGGCTGGAGTCTAAGAATTTCCATGAGGCCTCATAGGCTTTGTGCTGACCTTCTCCTTCAGTCCCGGAGGCCGCTGGTGCCTGCCTCCTCCCCCAGCCAGGCCAGGAACATCGCGCGGTCCCTAGAGGGATGCTCCTCCCACCTTTTTCTTGCTCACTCACATATCTCTCTCTGTCTCTCTGTTTCTGACTCTATCTCTGTGTGTCTCTGTCTCTCTCCTTCTCTTTCACTCTTTTTTCATGCTTCCTCCCAGGGACTTCAGAACCTTATGGGCTTCCCTTGCACCCCCCACCCTGTCCTCTGCACCAACAACCAGGACCTCTTCGGGGTGCTCCCAGGTGCAGCAGCCCACGCATCTCCAAAGCTTGCTCTTTACTCTAGGGGAGCTCGAAGGACAAGGGGCTTCACAGCCTGGGAGAGGGGAGGTAAGCCCATCAGTGAAGGTGTGAGAACATTAGGGGTCACTTCAGGGTGGGCAGTCCCCAGCCAGGAGCTGGGGCATGCTGTGTGGCCAGTGCCATCTCCCCACTTTCCTCCATGGTGGACCTGCTCAGCCCCCTCATAGCTTCATCCCTGTCTGAGAGGAGCTCATCACACACCCCTGCTCAAAGCTGCCCGGTATAGGTTGTACATGATGGGCAGGTGGACAGACAGATGGACAGGGACAGTGAGAGCGAAGGCAGGGGAGCAGAGCAGAGAGCAGCCTGTGGGAGCCTCCAGCTCAAGGTTCAGGCTTCAAACACCGTAGGGCCACTTGCCCCAGCCCTGGCTGGAGGGAGTGAAATGTTAGTGTCTCATTTTAAAAAATAATGCAGATGCCAACAGGTGGCATGGTGATAGGGCAGCTGGACTCCCACATAGCTGACCACAGTTTGAGTCCCAGACCTAGCAGCTTGCTTTCTCACTTTCTTTCTCTCTCTCTCTGTCTCTGGTCAACTTCGAAAAAATAAAATAATGACAATGACTAAAATTAAATAAAATAATTCTTTAAAAAATGCATTCCAATAACCAACAAAGCTGGAGAATTAGAATGGACTTAGTACAAATTTTTAAATCCAAAAGATTATTTGGATAATAGCGTCCCCGTGAGAAGGTTGAGCCTCTTGTGTAACACTTCTGTTCCCGGAAATCTAGACAAAGAGGAGGAGCCTCTGCCTACTCCCAGGGGACCACAGGGAGCCCCTGCCCAGAAAAGGGGCCTAGTTATGGGGGTGAGGGGGTGAGAGAGCTAGCGGTCACCTGCCAGACCAGGGCTCACTGCTTCAGCACCTCAGCCATCTCCCCTTTCTCCAGGGAGGTGAGGAGGGGACAAGGGGCACAAAGGGAGGGGACAGCAGTTTGGTTCTTCTCTCATTGTGTCCAGAGAGGCCACACCAGCTGTCCGGTCCCTACCCCAAAGGCCTGAGGTGGCCTCCTCTCCTCCCCGAGGAGAGAAACTGTGTAAAGAGCCACGTTGGAACATGTGCCCTGCCCCCCTCCCAGAGCATCCCTCTGTCCCTCACTCTGAAACTCGCACCTGTGTGCAGTCCCCATGCTGAGCAGGCACAGAAATCCCACTGCTTCAGGAGCTGCAAGACCCCTGCTTTCCATCCTCCAGCCGCAGCCAGCCTCTGCCACCCAGCAGTCATCACAGTATCCCGGGGTCCTCGCCATGACAATCCTCCCACCCTCTTGGGAGTGTCCCACTGCGCGTCAGAACTCCCCGACACACCCCCTGTGCAACCAACTTGCAGCTGAATAGACCAGCCTCCTCCCTGGGGCATGGAAAGGGCCCACACACGGCATTATTTAACACATGTTAAATAACACGTGTCAGGGGAGCCTCTTCCTGGCAGTTCTAAGCATGGGATCCTGGCTCATTCCAACCCCAAAATTAAAAGTTGCAGTCACATAATGGATATTCTGATGAAGCAACCATATCTGTTAAAAACTCCAGCATAAATGAAATTTCCACTCATCTGGGAGAGAATCCAGCAACATCCATGAAACGGCCAGAAAGATCCCCCCCAGTGGCACCTCCTTCCTCTCTAGGAGCCCCTGACCCAGCCACCCCCGCGGTGGCAGGGCTGAGCGTCCACGCAGCCGCCTCCTCCTGACCCACACTTCCACACCATCCGCGGAGCTGTGTGTGATTTGGCCCCAACTGTTCTGTTCTTCAAGGTCGAGCAGGGTTTAGGGCATAGTGGATGCCTGCACCCCTCACACCCCCACCTAAGTGTCCCGACAGCAGTTTCTCACAGGTCTGAGCTGTCCACACGGCTGGTGCTGAACCAGAACTGGCACACAGGCCGCGAGCGTCTCCTTCCTGCACAGGGCTCCGCTCCACTGCCCTCCCATGCTGCTGCCACCTCACTCATCTCCTGTCTTAGGCCCGGGAGGCTGGCACTGGCGTTGCCATGTGTGACACTCATCTCCGCAGCCACACTCACCCAGGCTGCTCCTTCCTGCCGCCTGTCAAGACCACACCTGTGCCAGCCCTGCCTTCCTTCCAGCCAGCTGTCCCTTCTCCAGCCCACTCCTTAGCATAGCTCTCTCCTCAGAAAAGTAACCCAGGCCCTCTCCTCCCAACGAGAGGAAAGTACATCTTAGAGCAGTTAGAAGCATCAGTGCTGTGTGAGCTCCCAGCCCCACTCCCAGAGATTAGTCAGCATCGTACGTTGTCCACAGCAGGTCACAAGCTCTTAGAGCTTGTCATGCCTGGACCGTGTGGAAGACTTAAATCCTCCTACCCTGATCCACTGTCAGAAAAGTACAGGCAGCACCTCACCCAGAAGCCTGGCCTCCAACTGAGTAAGCTGCATGGCCATGTAGTCTCGTGCCCATACAGCTCTGTGGGTCCTCAGAGCTGGGACTGGGTAAAGGGAGTGAGGGCAGAAACTCAGTGACCAAGACAAATAATAGTTCAATGCAACATTTTAGAACATCAGTATTAATGCAAAAAAGAAGGGGGGTAAATGAAATAGCAAAACCCTAAACAAAGGATCAGGGTTACCGCTTTGCTTGGCCCTCTGGCTCCCATAGGGTCAGCAGATCACTGGCAGCCCTGTGGGTTATGGTTAGGGTTAGGGTCACAGCTTTGCTTGGGCCTCTGGCTCCCATGAGGTCAGCAGATCTTTGACAGCCTTGTGGGACAGCAGTATGAGTGGACGTGTTTCGCAGGGTGGCTCTAACAGACCCACGAAAATGTGCCCCCAGAGTCACAAACATTGGGCTTCAAGAGTGAAATGTCAGCACTCTTACATGAAGTGCCCACCTCAAGCTACCCATGCATCCCCTCTATACCTGGACCAAAGTCAACTTGGCGAACATGGCCTGGGCTCACGGCATGGACCCTTGACGGAGAGCTTCATGAGTCAATAAAATGAGAGATCAGAACTCGATATCTGGGAACAGCTGCCCCTAGAGTCTGTGGTCAGCCTCTGTCTCCACCCCCAAGGGTCCCCTGACCCTGGGGACATGACCTCACCCAGAGCTTGCTGCGGAGAAGTTCTAGAATTAGAGGCCTGACAATAGAGAAAAGCAGCTGCAAGCAGATGTGACATCCTAAGGCTGAGGTGTCCCCAGGGAGGCAGGAGGCCCAGATCTCCATTGGCCAGGACTTCCACCAGGGGCCCTAGACAGATTGAGCAGGGTGGGCACCTTCAGCCTCCACCTAAGAAGATTGCGGTAAGACAAGGTCAGAGGACTTCGAGCTCCTCCAACCAAGTCTGCTGTCAGACCTGAAGGGAGAGACCAGAAGGGGCGCTCAGCCTGCACAGGTAAAGGTGAGGCAGACAGAGAAGAGGCCGAGGTGTAGTGCGGAGCTGCACCGCACACAGGAGCTGGACGAAGACAGGCTGTGCCTTCACACTGCAATTTTACTCTAGTCATGTTTCAGCCTTTAATTTTCAAGTGGCCAGACTGTTGATGGTTTTAGGCTCAAAGTAACCTTTGCTTCATGTTTCGTGCCTGTGAGCTGAGAGGAGGCTTCACATGGGCAGTGCATGGGTGAGGCCCAGAAAGGGACTGCCCTCAGAGCCTCACCTTGCTGTGTCCACCCAGGAGCAGTCTCGAAGTCCTGCAGCTGCTGGCCTTGTCTCCGTGTGTCCACCTCTGATTCAGCAGTTCACCCTGGAACTCATTTTCTGAAGGTTTGAAAAGATACAAGATCAGGAAAGGAGCCCTCGTGGAGACAGTGGGAATCAGTCACATTCTGACACAGTGTCACAGTGTCTGTACACGCCTCCTTTTTTTTTTTTTTTTTTTGAGAGGTTTTCACTATAGGGCGCGTGCACTCGCCAGACAGACAGAGAGAGACATAGAGACAGAAAGCGAGAAATCACCCCCCAGGGAGGATGGTCACGCCGCAATCCCTTCTCCTCCATTCTCCTCCCGGGATCTTGGGCACGCATGCACACGCGCCGGGCGTGAGTTCTAAGCCACCGGGTCCGGGACGCAAACTGCGGTTGACTACGTGGAAGTCCAGCGACATAGCCATTACGCTAACTGCTGGTTCCCTA